TTTTTTAACCACTCAGAGACCTTGCAGAACAAACCGTTATTTTAATTCGTAAACAAAAGCTCCTATTGGCTAATTGGGTGCAGCACTTGCTACAGCGTTGCCACATTTAATAAGTTGAGCAGCGCCTCTAGCGATCAAATGGTGAAGTCGAATTTTATAAATATATTAAAAGCAACTACAAATATATATTTGTGCATTTAAATATATATTTAAAAAAATAAATATATATATAAAAACATATATTAAAATATGAAATTTAAATACATATAAAGTAAAAAATAAATATATATTTGGTAAAAAATAAATATATATTCAAAATTATATATATATTGGAGAATTTAATTATGGCACAAACGGCGCCTCATACTTTTAAAAATCAATATTTTAAAACTTAAAGTTTTACAGTTGCATGTTATATTTAAAATATTTAATAATTTATATATATATATATATATATATATATATATATATATATATATATATATATATATATATCCGGTCCACGTTTTCAGTCCCGGTACACTATACAGGCTACCTAAGACCCACTTGATCCAGGTAATTTAGGCGAGTATATAAACCGTAAATAAGCTTTTAAAGAATATAACTCAATAAGCATGCTTCAAGGGGAAACATTTTCTTTTTACAAAAAAAGTTGCAAACTGAATAACACTTTTTAAACCCGCATCATTTTACCGACTTTTCGCGCCCGTTTATACTGCATAACCATATTCAACCAACGTCCCGAGACCCAGCGATGTTGCCAAATGGACTCGTGGCGTAGGTCGAAAGTACGTAAAAATAATATACTAATCCGGGATTCTCCTCATTGCCTGTAAATAGGGAAGATAGCAGAATTGGCGAAATTGTTTGTGTGGTGTGAAAATATCGGCAGGAAGCAATTGCTTCCTGCCGATATTTTCACACCACACAAACAATTTCGCCAATTCTGCTATCTTCCCTATTTACAGGCAATGAGGAGAATCCCGGATTAGTATATTATTTTTTAATTTAAATTAATATTAATTTTAATTTAAATTAATTGCTCGAATGGCAATACTAGGGAAAAATCAAAATACAGGTAAGGAGGCATGTTTGGTTAGGTTAGTTTTTTTATTTACTATTATTTATTTTAAAGCAAAGTTAATTTTTAGGTATCCGTGGCGGTATCAGTGGCGTAGCTAGCCTCAAGGGGGCCTCGTATCAAAAATCTGGTAGGGGCCCTTATACCGGAAAATGTTCTGCCAAAAAAATTTTTAGGGTATCATTTTTTTGCCATTACCAATTTTTATAATTCAATAAATAATATATGTGGGTAAATCTCACGAAATGTCCCCCGATGAGTTTGACCTACACTTTTATTGTGTTTTGATCTTTCATAATTAAGTAGATATTACAGCTCAGGTTCCAGATTTTTAACCGCAATTAATTATTTTTTACAATATTTTAAAAGTCTAAAACATATCCTCCGTGACTGTTACTCTTTCTAGGTTAACCTATATGTTTTCAAATATCTGAGGTAGTAAAAGCATACTAAAAATATCAGTTCATCATTAAAAATTAAAAGAAATAATTTTTATAACCATTTATGTAGGTGTTACAAAAATTGATTCTATCCTCCGTGAATCTGTTTTTGTTTTAAATTTTTTGCAACGGATGGCGCTTTAATAATTTTAAATAAGCAAAAACCTCTATTTACGACATTATAGTCTATAATTTATAGATGCATGTGATTCCTGAGGTCAGTTAGAATTTATATGCAGATGAGAGTGTTGCTGTTTAATAATTCAAAAGTTTAAGTTCATTAATTTGCTATTTAAAAACCTATCCACCGTGTAAAATATTAAGGTGTAAAAAGATACAATAACTTATTTTAAATATACATTGTATATATATTATACAAAGGTAAAAAAAACATACGAAATCCTAACCTCCGTAAAGATATCTTCCGTGAAGCTCTAATATTCAAAATGTATGATTTCTTAAAATTCTTGCATTAGTGCAGAACCACTTATGTTATGTTATTACTAGACCTGGTGGCTTGCTAAAAACCTCATTCTAGACTAACAGTGAAACAACCAAAAATAAAAAATAATCATTTCCACTTGGGGGACATCTCAATATATTCACCCATGTATACATAGCTTTTTATGTACAGGCAAATTTTAAAATTTGATCTGGTTTTAGACATTTACCGTTCTTCAACATCTTTTAAAAGGTTTCTATTTTAAAATAAAGGAAAGTCATTTTAAACAATTGTAACGCTAATAATTATTTCTAATTTGCTATTAATTTAACCTATGATAATAACACCCTGCGCCGTAGACAACGCATAGCGGAAAGGTGCGGGCAGAAACATTAGGTATGAGTTAACGGCCTCGTTAGAACAGGAGGGTATTCAGAAAAATTTTAATTTAATAAATCGAAGAATAAACGATTTAATAAAAATATTATTTATTTATTTAATTTGATGCCTCAATTTTTTTAACATGTGGGTAATATATTTTTTGCTTACGCATGTCGAAGCCAATCGCCCCCCCCCCCCTATGCGCGGAAACTACGCCCCTGATCCCCATTCAAAGAAACGCAGAAAATCCTGTAGACGAATATAGTTTCGACAGCAAAGAAAATTTAAGTATTTTCTTTAAAAAATGTAACTTTATTTATTTTGCGTACTTCATCAAATTATTTTTTCTTCTTCCCTTAAAATTTTGGCGTATTAGTTTTTAAAATCGGTTGGTTTGCACAAATTATTACTTTAATTAAGTATGATTTAAAAGTACATGATTTTATAAAATGATTATTGTGAATATATAATAGTGTATAATTAATAAATTAATAAATTAAAAAATTAAGTTTTTCTCAAATAACGTACCAACCCATTTTAAAACTAATATCGTGTGGGTATCGTATAATTTTAAGGGAATTTTAAATGCCTTTGTTTGTTTGTTTGTTTTCAAGATATTACAGAAAATTTTCCTTTTTTAATTTATTTTTGTCTTAAATATCTCAGGAACAAACTAACCGATTTTAAAAACTAATACGGCAAAATGTAGAGATTTAAAATGCCTTTAAAATGAAGATTTTTAATTTAAAGTGAAGAAGAAAACCGGGGTTGAAATTTTTTGGTTAATTTAATTTGGAAAATATAAAAAATTTCATTTTCACTAATCAGCATTCAAATTGAAGTATTTTTATTTAGTAGTTCTGAGATACAGGGTATTAAAATTATACAGTAACCGCGGTTAATATTAAATATTAAAAAAATATAAATTTTAAAATACAAGTTTAAAATTGGGTATGCTGTAGGTAATATCTAAAGCAAATAATTTTTTTATTTAATTTTAATTATTATACCGGGTGATTTTCTTTATACGCTGCTGGTTAAATTTAATAATAAAATAAGATAAGATAAGAAGGTAGGTTCTAAAAACACATGTAATTATTCAATTAATCAAATTTTGCAATATGTATTGATTATAATACAACAATAAAAAAGCTAATAATAATAATGATAATAACGATAATAACGATAATAATGCTAATAATGATAATAATCATAATAAATAAATAAACGGAAATGAAAATTGATATTAAAAATACTTACCATTAAAATTATCAACTACATGTTCCACAGACAGTGTAAGGTTCTTTATAATCTTGAGATATTTCGCAAATCTTTTTATTAACTTAATATTTATATTTTGTATAATTCAATAAATATTACTATACGTAAATCACATCCATACAACCATATTAAAAATTACCTACCTACTAATATTTTTACAGTAATATTTACCAAAAATGTATACTAAAAAAATAATATATTGTGTTAAATATTTAACATTTAAATTTTACTGACGAATATTTAAAAGTATAACCCTCAAAATTTGATAAAATAGATTTTACTTTTTTTTACTATCTGAAGCTTACTTATCTCCGTTCAGGAGGGAAAGTGTGATTTTGGACCAAATGGTAAAGAGCATATCGGGACTGTATCAGAGCTGTGAAATACATATTCATTATTTATATACCAAACGGCGTTGCCAAATTTAGGGTTTGAAGACGTAGTTTAACTATGCCAAATATATACAGCTAGCTGAGCCCGACCGAGGCGCCCTCGAACTGGCTGAACCGTGAACTAAATCTGTATATTTCATCATGTTTCACCGCCTTTTCAAGCCCACCTAAAAATTTACCCCCTGCACCCACCAACCCCCCTGATTTCCATACTATGATTAACTTTTTCAGTCCCGAAGCCGGGTCTGAAAACGTCAATTTTGGTCTGTATAGGCGGCGAAGTATGACGATTTGGGTCTGTATGTGCGGTCAAACAAATCTATATATATATATATATAATATTTTTATATAATATATATATATATATAATATTTTTTGACTATCAACTGTTTTGAATTAAAAAAAATTTAACTTTTTAAATTTCTGTTAAAACATAATTTAAGTGCTAAACTTTAATCTTTAAACTTTTATCTAATAAATGCTATATAGCATAAAACGGCGTGTCATATATGGTAGACATATTTTATTTATTCCACATACGAAATCTTCAAAATAGATTAACATAGGCAAGGTAAGACATTAGGGATTAAAAAATTTGGACTTTTCCTTCCATAGTTCTTGATTAAAATTTGAATAAACGAAGTTTTCACCTGTTACAATGTAACAGTTACATAATCTTTGGTTTGATTAAGAAGATCCGGTAATTCAAACAATTTTTTGAACATTTTACGCATAGAAACAAATGATTCAGTAACATTAGCATTTTTTACCTACTACAAATAATAATCTTTAAACTTTTATCTAATAAATGCTATATAGCATAAAACGGCGTGTCATATATGGTAGACATATTTTATTTATTCCACATACGAAATCTTCAAAATAGATTAACATAGGCAAGGTAAGACATTAGGGATTAAAAAATTTGGACTTTTCCTTCCATAGTTCTTGATTAAAATTTGAATAAACGAAGTTTTCACCTGTTACAATGTAACAGTTACATAATCTTTGGTTTGATTAAGAAGATCCGGTAATTCAAACAATTTTTTGAACATTTTACGCATAGAAACAAATGATTCAGTAACATTAGCATTTTTTACCTACTACAAATAATTAGGTATGTCCACCGGTTCTATGTAAATGCCAATTTCTTTGAAAAATTGTATACACTAGGGTGTGCCAAAAAAACTCGATATTTTTTTTTTCTAGCTCTCCACCCAAAATATCGTAGAATATGTCCGAACAAATATTCTGTTAAAAGCGGAGCTCATAATTTCAATTTTAAGAGGTCCCTCATCGAATCTGAACTTTTGCCGCTTAAATAACACAGAAAACTGACTTTTTTACCTTATTTATTCTTGCAACCTAGGAAGATTTTTTTTTTCGTAAAATCCATGACTAATTCTTACAAAGCATTAAATTTGGACAAAAAAATCTTATTAAGCCGAATTTCTATTTTCATTATTTAATTTTTTACATAGCTTTAAATTTAAAGATAATAATACAAAAATGATGACTTTATACGCCTGTAACTTTTAGAATATTGAGGATATAAAAAATTCGCCTAAAACTTTTTTGTGGTCCATCAGACAAGCTAAAAAATTACCATTTGACTTTTTCGTCTAACTTCAATAGTTTAGCTGAAAAAGGCAAAAAACGTAAAATTTTAAATTTAAAGCTCTGTAAAAAATTAAATAATGAAAATAGAAATTCGGCTTAATAAGATTTTTTCGTCCAAGTTTAATGCTTTGTAAGATTTGGTCATGGATTTTATGAAAAAAAAATTTCTTCCTAGGTTGCAAGAATAAATAAGGTAAAAAGGTCAGTTTTCTGTGCTATTTAAGCGGCAAAACTTCAGATTCGATGAGGGACCTCTTAAAATTGAAATTATGAGCTCCGCTTTTAACAGAATATTTGTTCGGACATATTCTACAATATTTTGGGTGGAGAGCAAGAAAAAAACTATTTCGAGTTTTTTTGGCACACCCTAGTATACACATATGATGAACTTATTTTATTTTTATATTTTTGTCAAAAATACTTGATATTTTACACACAATTTTTTCATTAAGTTGGCGGCTTTTAATGTACTATGTTTTTATAGTCTTTAATTTGACTTTGTAATGGTCAGTAATATCAGCCAAAATCTTATAAATATGCGTTCTAGGGATGTATCTATTTTTGTTTTACTTTGTAAGGAACTGAAGGCTATGGCACGCCGTTTTACTTTTTAATGACATCCAAAAATTAACTTAAAACAAAAGTTATCAAAATTAAAAATTGCCTACAAAATATAAACGTTCATAAAAATTATTAAATTAAATTTAATTATAACTAAAAATCTACCAATTTATTTTTTGGTGTATTGTATATGTCACGGCTAAATTAGCCGGGCTAATGTGCAAACTTTGATAGTTTATAAACTAGCTGGATAGTTTATAAACTAGCCACACTGTTAGCTATTTTAATTGAAAATGTATTTTCAACTAAATTAGCGGCTAGTTTACAAAATAACCAAGGATCTTGGCTAATTTACTTGAAATTATTAGGGAAACTAAAATAGCTGCAGCTCCATGGATAGTTTGTATACTATCCAATTCAATTTGGCTAATATGAAAACCAAAATTTCTAGTAACACAAAATAGCCAAGCTTTAGCTAGTTTGTAAACTAACCAACTAATTCTCTGGCTATTGCCCATTTTAGTTGAGTTTTTTGCTCAATGGGGCGGGGGGCGGTTTTCATATTCATTACAGAAAATATTCTTTCCACAACTGCATTACTTAAAGGTAAACTTAAAACCTTTATGACAAAAAGGGCTAATTCTTTAAAAATATATTCTCCTCCTGCATTGGTATAGTTTAAAACTTCAATCCACACACTAAAATAAACTAAATCCTATGCGCACAGATTATAAAGGTTATGCGTCATGACTATGACTCTTCAATCTGACATCTGACATCTCAAATTTGACATCTTCAACTTCAACTTCAAGATCAAGTTTTGCCAACATAAAACGAAAATCTTAAAATTTTAGTAAGAAATTATAATAAATTTCGCCCGAATTTCATTTATTATTTTTTTTTTCGCCCAATTTAGGAAATTTCGCAATCGTGTTTTTTAAATCGCAAATTGTATTTGTTTGTAGCCCATTTTGCGAAATTTCGCCCAAGGTGGCAACCCTGGCCTTGACACTGTGTGTCACATGACTCTTCCATATGGCAGTGTTGCCATATCATTTCTGGTAGATATCACAGTTATTTTGTAAACTAGCCGCTAATTAGAGGTGCCGCGAGACACGAGACACGAGACGTCTCGTCTCGTCTCGTCTCGTCTCGAAGCCATTTTGTCTCGTCTCGAGAGCATTTTGTCTCGAATTTCGAGACGAGACGAGACGAGATAAAATCCTTCGAGACAAGGCGAGACGAGACGAGACGAGACATCTCGAAATATTTTAATGACTTAATAAGCTTTAAACGAATGATAATAACATCATTTAAGTTTTAATAATTGTTTTTAACTTCAGAATTAGTAAAACACAGCATTATACACTCAGAGAAATATCAAGTTATGAAAAGCATATGAAATTATATTAATTTAAATAATCGGGTAAATTTGATTCAAATAGAAAAAAATTTAGTTTTACATTCATTTACCAACAGTTTTACAATGTTTTGAAACACTTTTAAAGTGTACCCTCTTTAAAATATATAAACAAAAAGGAATCCATTTATTTCATTGCCTTTCTCAAAGTTGTTTTAAAAAGATATGTATTATACAATTGTTATGCACCTATTAATTTAATGGGAAACACCAATGACGCCAAAACATATTTGAATCCCTAATAATTCAAAGGGATTCAAATATGTTTTGGCGTCATTGGTGTTTCTCATTAAATTAAAAGGTGTATAACAATTGTATAATACATATATTTTTAAAATATCGTTGAGAAAGGCAATGAAATAAATAGATTTCTTTTTGTATATATATATTAAAAAGAGTACACTTTAAAAGTGTTTAAAAACATTGTAAAACTGTGGGTAAATGAATATAAAACTACATTTTTTTCTATTTGAATCAAATTTACCCGATTATTTAAATTAATATCATTTCATATGCTTTTCATGACATGATATTTCTCTGAGTGTAGGATATGAGCTGGTAATATGTGCATATAAATTGTTAAAATAAAACTTATAATAAAATATAAAACCTTTATTCAAAAACTGCATGGTGTTTTCGAGGACATACATACATACCTTATAGAGAATAAACAGTAAAAAAGAAAACAAATAAATGTATTTTATAATATACAAAATAAATCAATAAACTCTAAACTGAAAATAAATATTAAATATATCATTAACATTGTTGTGTGAATATCACATTATAGGTAAAAAGTAATAGGTAACTAAAAAAAATCCTAAATCATTAAAAAATATTTAGATATTACAGCATAGGGTAAGTATAGGTATAGGTAAGTTTCACTAATCAAAGTTTAGCTTATCTTTTAACGTACAAGTGTACCATGAATTAAGGCATAATAATGAACGAGCCGACTCAGCATTAAGTCGATTCCGAAGTTTAGTGACTACTAATCCAGCTTTTGAAAAAAGGCGTTCTGAAGGAACGCTTGTTGCGGTAATACTTAATAGGTCTCTTGCCATCTTTGAAATGTGTGGATAATTTACTTCATTTCTTTTCCACCATTCCAACAATATCTCCCCTTTTGATGCTCTCTCCGAATAAAAGTATGCGTTTAGTTCTTGTTTCCAAAACTCTTCAGTTTCGGATTGAGGAGTAGCCTTTTTGAATAAAAATTCAATATCCATGTCTTCATCTGAGCCAGATTGTTCTTCAGTTTCTTGTATAGGTGGAATTGGCCTAGTCGGTGCGTATTTTTCACAATAAATTGCTTCAAATTTTTGGTACGACTTATTTTTCATTTCTGCACCCCAGAAAGTCATTGCAAAGGTTTCCAATTTGTGACGTGGATCTATTAAGAGTGAGGCGCAATAAACCCAATTTGCTTTGTAATAATGCTTAAGCATTTTATCTCTACCTGCTCTAAAAGCTTCAATAAATATTCCGTCGCTTGGTGAACGTTCTGTCTTCTGTTCCAGTTCTATCATCAGATTTTCTATTCTGTCAATTAACATGTTAAAGCCTATTATAACCAGTGGTAATGTTGGGTAGGAATCTCCTGATAAGGTATTACTGAGATACTTAAAGCATCGCAGATATTTTTGAACAAGGCCCAGCATCTCCCATTCTGTTTGATTTAACTTAAAACATTTAAATTTTTGATTATTCTCGCAGAAAGCATCAATAGCTGTTTTCATTTTTATTCCTAACAAAATCATCTCATAAGTTGAATTCCAACGAGTGGAAATATCTAATGTCACCGTTAGATAAGCAATATTGCTTGCTTCACAGCATACTTTTAATTTGTTCTGTAACTGTTCGGAGTATTTGATTTTTTTAAACAATGTTCTTAATCTAGTTATAGGTGGCATATTTTCATACGTTTTTTCTTCTTCTACGTAAAATTGATCAGTATCATCGTCCATTTCTTCATCTTTTTCTTCATCTTGCTTTAAAAGTTTTAATATATCCTGAACGCCTAAATTTAGGATATGAGCAAAGCACCTAAAATGTTGGTTTTCAGCGTTAAACGTTTTACCATTTTTTTCCATTATCTCCTGAAACTTTTCTAGAAATTTTGTATTAACCGAAGCGTTATCTACGGTTATCCCTTGTATTTTATTGAGTAAGTCATACTTCTCCATTGATGTATAAAATATATTAGCAATATCCATACCAGTGTGTTCTCCATGCGATGGTACAAAATCCAATACCAAGGACTGCATTGTCCAGTCCTTATCCACAAAGTGAGAGGTTATACCATAAAATGATTTTCCACTTATAGATGACCATCCATCAATTGTAAATGAAATATTTGAAGTATTTTCTTGCAGGACCTTGAGCACCTTTTGTTGTTTTTTCGAAAAAATTTCCATGACATATCTTCTCATTATAGTCCGCCTCGGAGGTTCATTTTCGGCATGCACGTCCTTGAAAAATTCCCTTGTAGACTCATCATCAAAAAAATTAAATGGTAGATATTTGATAGATATCCATTTCACATATTTCTCAAAATACTGCGGTGTATTTGGGGTTGGGGTCTGTAATAAAAAAAAATTATTAAAAGTGGTAATTATCAGTGGTATAAGAAATAGATTTTTGAGAAGTTAATAAACATTACGTCCCTCATTACACAACTTACCCGCTTACTACTAGCCTTCTCAGATTCAAATGAAAATATTTCAGCAATTGTCTTCTGTTGTTTAGAACTTTTCTTATTGTCTTTTCCAAAAAACATTGAAAATTCAGTTGGATGGTTTTTGGAAAGGTGATATTTAAGGCCTTTGGTATTTCCACTTTTCATTTTTATTGAAGTATCTTTTTTATTTTTTTCACAAATTAAACATACTCCGGTTTTTGCTCCCTCTTTAAGTTCATATTTAAAATAATCCAAATATTTTTTGGGAGTTGATGCAATAACTTCTTTACTTTTTTTTACACCAAAGAAGCAACTTGTGGTTTTCTTGGAAGGTTTGTTCATTGACTGTGAAACTGTTTTTCTTTTTTTGGCGGAAGATTTTGAAGTCACCTTGACGATATCATCACTTTCACAAACGTCACTGGAAGAATCGTGTCTGTATCTGTCTTTTTCACTATCATCTATAACATAGTCTTTGTCTTTAATACTATCATCACTGTCAAAGGTTTCATTATCACTATCCTTAGCGGTACTAGGACCAGGCAACTGTTCAGATAGGGTTTTTCCTCGAATTTTTCGCAAGGAGTTCATTTTGTAAAGATATTACAAGGCACTGTAACGGTTTCTAATTGTTTTTGAGTTCGAAAACACTACTTCGGAACACACTTATTACACCACTACGACTATTACGAAAAATACTATTTATTACTCATGTAAGAAAAACTTCAAAATAAAGTTTAATACATATATTAAACGACACTTTTAATTAACAAAACTATTCAGTAAGAACGGTGCTTCCTAACTGCCCATTTCTCCTAACGTATACGATGTTTTATAAAGTTTAATAATATAAACACACCGTCAGCATTTACGCCCGCTTCTCGTGTAGGGAGCTCGAGTTAAAGGTCTCCAAATATTTATCTTACATTAGGCCTTCCTGATTTTGTGCTTCGTCCTCGAACACACCTCATTACAAGGTTACTTCAACCTAAAACAAATCGGGCCTGTTTCAACCCATTAACACTGGTCTATTTCAACCAACGGCCTGTTTCAGCCACGGCCTATTTCAGCCAACGCCTATTTCAGCAACGGCCTATTTCAGCCAACGGTCTATTTCAACCAACACTTATTTTAAGGGCCCTTATTACTACATTATCGCTATCTTAAAGTTAAAACACTTAAAGGTACGTCTTAATGGGTAATCTTTATCGTAAAACATCAATAAAGTAAACATAAACATAACATTACTACCTTATAAACATATAAAATTTACAAATATTGCTGACAACAAGAATTTATCCATTCTTACATGACCTACCACAATATTTTACACATTGATTCGTTAAACCTTACATTTGTATAAACATTTTCAATCTAAACAGATTTCATATGAAAACAGTGATTTTTGACATATTTACTTCTTTTACTTCACTTTACATAACGAAAAGTCTTTTTAAATTATCTACGAAACTACGAAACCCTTCGCGCAAGTCTTCTACAACATACCTATCGTTAGGTAACACACATTTTATCCTGAAAGGTCCTTTAAACTTAGGTTAACTTTTTACTCGTACCCGTATTTGCTTCACTGGTTCGATTAGGGTAAACTTTGTGAAAGCATCCATAACTACAAATATATATATATTTATTTCCAAAATTTTTAGTAGACAACTTTAAACATTCGATTTTAGTGTTGTTAGGCATTTTACCAAAATCTACATCGTCCCACGCGCCCACATCGCTGTAATTGGTTTCGGAGATTCAGCTAAATATATATTTATTTTTTCACCGGTTTTCACTAATCTGCTGTCGGTAAGTCTAAAAAGTCACAACCGATTATACAGTCATAAAGCATCTCACTAACTACATAAACATCCGCGTTAACATCACCGATACGCACGATTTTTGCTTAGAACTTGATTTCCAACAATCTAGTATTTGTTTCTTGTACTAATCCTAATTTAGCACTTTCTTTAATTAACGTTTAAGAACTGCCTGTGTCTATTAAACATTTTATGATTACACCGTTTATTTGGACTTCCGCTATCGGAGGATTGTTTATATATAGCGCCCTCTTATTTAAAACCTACACTCAGAGAAATATCAAGTTATGAAAATCATATGAAATTATATTAATTTAAATAATCGGGTAAATTTGATTCAAATAGAAAAATTTGTAGTTTTATATTCATTTACCAACAGTTTTACAATTTTTTGAAAGACTTTTAATGTGTACCCTCTTTAAAATATATATACAAAAAGAAATCCATTTATTTCATTGACTTTCTCAAAGTTGTTTCAAAAAGATATGTTTTATACAATTGTTATGCACCTATTAATTTAATGGGAAACACCAATGACGCCAAAACATATTTGAATCCCTTTGAATTATTATCGTTTTGAATGATTTTACATTTTTTCTCTCAGTGTACGAGCCGGAGCTGTGTTTCTGTATTTTGATATGGTTAAGTATATTCTTCATATTTTAAAAAGATTTTAAATTATGTACATTGCGTTCACAAAGTAGGGTGCTACAAAGAAACTGCGTTATCATTTTAGTTTATCCCACTTTTAAGAGCTTATATCTTTTTTGTTTTTTGAGTAAGACATTTTTTATTGGATTTATCCGATAATTCAAAACTAAATTGAGATAAACCAAAAAACCAAAACAATTCGAGACAAACGAGACAAAACGAGACGAGACGAGACTAGGCCTTGTCTCGTCTCGTCTCGACCTTGTCTCGTCTCGTCTCGAAAAATGTTATCTCGAAATTTCGAGACGAGACGAGACAAGGCCTTATCTCGTCTCGTCTCGTCTCGCGGCAACTCTGAAATTGTATTTGTTTGTAGCCCATTTTGCGAAATTTCGCCCAAGGTGGCAACCCTGGCCTTGACACTGTGTGTCACATGACTCTTCCATATGGCAGTGTTGCCATATCATTTCTGGTAGATATCACAGTTATTTTGTAAACTAGCCGCTAATTTAGTTGAAAATGTGTTTTCAATTAAAATAGCTGACAGTTTGGCTAGTTTATAAACTATCCAGCTAGTTTATAAACTATCCAAGTTTGCACATTAGCCGTAACATATACATAGGTTTCCATATATATTTACATCATTCTGGTGTGATCTATATTTTTAAGCCTCAGTTTTTATTGTATGAATATTTTTTTTCTATTTAAAAAAGGTGCTTATATATATATATATATATATATATATATATATATATATATATATATATATGTAAATATTAATATTTTATTTATTAATTTAAAATTAAGTTAAAGTATAATATTTATTTTAGAATAAAAATTAGATTTAAATCTGTAAGCGCAAGGCGAATTTTCTCGATGAAAAATTCGATCACAGAACACATAGAACCAAAAAGCCCTTTAATTGGCATAGGGGAATCAGGGGAAAGGAAGGTGCGCACAGTGGTCTGGGAGATAAATTTACGCGGCAAAAATTATTCTTTAAATATTTTTCCCAAGACGTGTGTTTTTTATGTTTTTAAGGGTGCTAAATTTACTTCTTATAAAAATATTTGGTATTGAGGGGGCTAGTCTAGCCAAATGATATAAAATGAATTTTTCTAATATTTGTGTATTTTTTGTTTTTTTATGTTTTATATTTAATAATTTATTTATTAAATAAATAAATGTTTATATATAGTTCGTACCAGGCGGCGATTGCAACATGGCGCAAGCATAATTTTTTATCATGAATAACCGAAAAACCATTACCTTCAAAGCATTGAGTAAGATTCTTTACTCAATGTTCAAAGTATCAAAAATATATTATTATATTAACATTTTACATTTCACCATATTTCTTTTTAACAACCCTTTAACCAATATTGTGTTGGTTGACAATAGGAAAACTTATTATTTTTATTAAATACTCTTGCTTATTTTAAAAATGATATTCCTATAGAACAATAATTATTGTAGATACTACCCTCTTAAAGCACTTTGCTGTTTTTTATTTTCTGAGCAGGTGCACCCTGGACATTTAATTAAAAATGTTTGTTAGGAATCTCATTTTTAAATACAAGCAGAAGTTTTTATGAAAAATAATTTTTTGCGATTCCGTTACGAATATCTTACCACATTTCAAGCAAGAGTTTTTAAAAAACATTTTTTTTTCGTATCATACCTAATAAAAAAGTTTTTTTCTATTGTCATTACCATCCGTTGGCACACTGTATAATATACAAAGTATATTAAATAAATAATATTATGTAATAGGAGTAAAGAAAATTGTATTACCATTCTTAAATGCAATAATTATTGTCAAATTAAAAAAATATATATTACTTTTATGACCAGGTTAGCGGTAGTTTGTCGGCCATTTTTCATTCTTGCATAACTCTCTTATAGGCGCATAAAGGCAGATGAATTTTTATAAAGTCGGAGCAGGATATTCATATTTTCAAATGCACTATGTGGTTTTGGGCAAGTAATTGTAAATTTTTACTTATATTCCATTTATTATTTGTAATTACAAAACTTGAGAATTTGTATGTTAAAAAAGCTATATTTTTGTCAAAAAATCCGAAAAAGACATTTTAAAGCTGTATTTGTAGGTACTCAACTTTATCCCTACTATAAATTTTTGACACTAATTTTCACTATTATATTTACGCAACACCTTTTTTACACGAAAAAGACAAGATTCCGAAAGTAAGAGTATTTTCATGTATTTGTTATAACGCAACGCATACGCACTAAATTCTACTTCGCAGTTTAAAATCTTAGGTAATAATCTGTCACGAACAATAAAGAGGCATCAAAATGCGTTTTTAAAGTGTTTTAAAAATTGGATTTTTGCCGCGTATATTTGCCTCTCAGACCACTGTGGTGCGGGAGGAAACAAGTCATGCGAGTAAGCTTATCATTTTAGAGATGCGCCGCTTTGATGAAACAGGAGTGTATTCAGGAATTTTTTTTATTTAATAAATTTATATTATAATGTATGTACATAATATGTACCCTATATCGTGTTATGTGTGCAGTGTGTTAATAGTTATTTACGATATAAGTGGGATAAGAGCTTTATTAACGTACGCATGCGAAATCGCAAAAGTACGTTTATAAAGTGTTATCACACGTATATTGTACAAATTTTTATCTACGCCTCTAAATGAAAAAATAAACGGTAATTATTTTTGTCTAAGACTTAATTTAGGGTTAATTTGACATTTTGACATTTTGACATTTTGACTTTTTTATTTGATTGGTTAAAAGCAGAGAAAAACGCGTGCGTTAATGAACTTCTTATCTCACTAAAAATGAGTGGGATAAGAAGTTCTTATCTCACTGGCGTAGATAAAGAAATATAAAGCTTGGGTCAAGAAATAAAAAGCTTGATTTAACTTTAAACTTAATGTTTTATAATAGTAAACTAAAGAACTTATGTCATAAGACGTCATTTTGTCGCACGAGGACAATTTATAATTTGTAATAAACGAGTGCGACAAAAGGCCTTATGACATAAGTTCTTTATGCTATTTTATCTATTTTGCAAAAATTTTATAAAAAAAATTAATTTTATACCTTATACCTATATTGACAGTTAATGTCAAAATCGAT